ATTATTCCGAGGCATCTTTTTAAACAGTGGACAGTTTTGTATGACCTAAATAGAGGAAACGCAGTACAAAATCAAAGAAGAACTGAAGGAATAGATTTGTATAAAAGTTGCACATGTTAATTTAAATGTATACGTATGCATTTAGAAAAAGAATGGTGATAAATATGGTCTAAATAAGATATGTCCTCAAAGAGGGGAAACCATCGCCTTGATGTGTGTTTATATGTGTTAATATGCCTCCATGTTGGTAGTAACAAGATGGTTCATTTTGATGGTTCTTAATAATTAAATTGGACTGAACAGGGAGGACAATCTGCAGCTGCTTGAATTTCACTCAAATTGTACCAAATTTCAGTGGCACAATTGCTGAAATGTGTTCTTGTTTCCCATTCATATGGAATGGACAGTTCATGAAAATGTAAGCCCCCAAAATAGGGTTAATGTGTTTGGTAAAGGCAAAGGAAAAAAATGGGAGGAGAACAATCATCAGGACGTCCACACATGCAAACTACCTCTACTCCCACTGTTAAAAAAATGATAGAATTAAGGGAAATTTCTACTATTTGATCCCAAGAGGCATTTGCGTTGGCTTTTCATTTGAAAGACAGAGTGACTTCAATTAGGGTAAATATACTCTTTGCAATGCTCCTAATCCAGAAACAGATCGTGCTATACTTGTTTATCTCAGTGAGAGCTATCTAGTGCCTCCTTGGTTGGTGACAGTGTCATATGAGCTCCTCTAGGTGGCGCCCCAACGTCAAGGATAATAATCTGAATATAAATTCAGTAACTTGCTTCAAACTTTGTGTAGGAAGATTAAACGGTTTAAAAGACAGGGCTGGCAGAAATACTAAAGTAAGTGTAGATATATCTTAAGATGCAGAATAAATTCCCCAAATCTGGAGCCCTGCAGATATGTTTCTCAGGATTCTTTCTCCTTATGGCTGCAAGTTGTTGAAGGACATTGCAGTGGGAGAAATAACTAGAAGAAAACAGAACCTCATAGTTATAATTTGAATTTTCAGCTCCTCAAATTATTGTGGAAATTATTGTTCAGTGTAACAATCTCCAACTTTCCTGGGACACACTAGGGATAAAAAATCAAGAGCCTGATTAAAGAGCCAGCATCAGCCTATCTAAATTGTTCTGTCCAATAATGTCAGGCTAACATCTAAAAAGTGGAGAAATAGATGAAATTGCTTGGATTTATTTTTTTGAAGTTTTTAATTTGTTAATTTAGGTATGATCGAGGCACTCTATTAAAGTAAATAAATGGCCCAGCTTTGCACTAGCATCTCCAGGTAGCTATTAGGGTCACACTAACATCTCCAGGTAGCTTTTGGGGAATTTATGAAGTCTAAAGTCTGCCCTCAGCCTCCCCCTTGTAAATCCCACAGATCTCTGAGAGCTGATATTTTTACTTGACCTCCCACAATGCCATGAAGGCATCACATTCCCATAATGCACTAGAAGAGGCTCTTGGTCATCTAGTATTTTCTGTCCGATTGCTGTTTTCAGTGTTAAGCCCATCATTACTCAAGCCAATAGGTTTGGATTTGAAGGCAATAGGCTTAAACCAGTGTGAAATGCCAAAGAGGATTTTATCGAACAAATATTAAGAGAGTTAAAAGATATACTATTTCATGTCCCTTACCAGCATGCCAGGAACCCCAAGAGTGGCAGCAGATGGACCCACTGAAGTTGCTTAACACTCTACTGGGACTTGGATCTACACCAAGGTTCATATTGTCTGGGGATTTTTGCCACCTTTTTAATCTTTTCTTAAGAGACAGGGAGTCTAAACAATAACAACTGAAGATGGCTTGGTAGCACATCTTATCAAGGACTCGATAATAACTTCAGACAGAGAATATCTGCCAATAATATTTTAGGGAAGACAGACCCTGTAGCAGAACAGCACCTGATGACATATCTGGCCAATACCTTGGAACAGTGTTTCTCAACCTTGGCAAGTTTAAGATGTCTCGACTTCAACTCCCAGAATTCCCCAGCCACCCACGGGAGTTAAAGTTCAGACATCTTAAACTTGCCAAGGTTGAGAAATGCTGCCCTGGAAAGTGATGCTTCATTTATGAGAACATTACTCTGATGCAGTTATTGGTCCTCCTCCCCTTGGCAGATGTTAGATTAGGGAGCTCGTGTTGGCCTCTTTATTTTAATGGTTACAAGAAGAATACCGGTAAAAGGCAAACAAGAGGGACTAACAATAGCAATGATGCAATCCATGAAGCTTTGCTAAGTAACTTTTTAATCCTTTCTGCACAGGTATTTCTTTTATGTGCAGAAAGGGGGTAAGGGACCACAACACTAACTCCTTGCCAATCTTCCATAGTGTGAACAGACCCTCTCAAGCCTGAAGCCAAACCTAAACCGAACCTTTGCGGAAAAGATGGAATTGCTGAAAATGGAGACAATTTGCATTGTTATTGCGTGTCAGCCCATTACACCATAAGTGCCATTCTTCGAAAGAAAAACAAGTCATAAACCCAATATCTAACTATGCCCCAAAGCCATGCATGGATACACAACATGTGGCATTCCAGATGTTTCTTTGTTTTTATTCAATTTATAGGGCCACTCAATTGACTAGTGATTCAAGGCAACTTACAAGAGGGTTAAAAGCACTGATTGTCAAGGCAATAAAACAATAAAACAATAACCACATTAGGGGAAATAAAAACTTAAAACACAGATATTTCAGTGGGTTCACAAATTGCTCCAGACAATGCCTGTCAGAAAAGCCAGATTTTTAAAGCCTTCCTAAAGGATAGCAAGGTTGTAGACATGTAGACCTGTGGACTTTGATGGGGGTGGGGTGTGGGATGCTGCCAAGCCAGAACTCCCAGAAGCCTCAGACAGCATGATCAGTACTAAGGGAGGGCCCCACATTGCTTTTGGTTATAAAACGTATTTTCTCTGGGTACTGAATTAACCTATGATTATTTAATTAACCCATATTTAATCATCTATGTGGATTAGCGCAATACCCTAAATCATATATTACTATTTTTTTAGATATGATACCCAACTATGGGTTTATGGTAGGACCTGGT